GCGGTGCGAGAGATCGAGCGGGCGGTGCGCGATATCGCCCAGGCTACTGCTGACTTGGTCGAGGAGGCCTTCGCCTCTTCCTCCTCCTCATCCTCGTCATCCCTCCTCGCCCCTTCCTCCCCTCGCTCGCCTCCCCCTCGACTTCCTCGTTGGTGGAGCGGATCTTCGCCGAGATAGACGGCGACCTCCCGCCGACCGAGACGTCGGCTGAGCCGAACGTGTGATATCGGCCAGGGAAGATCGGGCCAGCCTGCTCGGACCTGCAAGCGTTTGTGCGCGTGTTTTTGTTTGAGTTCGAGGGCCGAGCCTACTGCTATGGAAAACCTCTGTTTCCGCTCCTCCTCGAGCCTCCGCTTCCCGCTCCTGCACACTGGGGCCCTCGAGTCCGACGAGTCCGGACCTGCAAGCGTTTGTGTGCGTGTTTTTGTTTGAGCTCGAGGGCCGAACCTACTGCTATGGAAAACCTCGGCTTCCGCTCCTCCTCGAGCCTCCGCCTCCCGCTCCTGCACACTGGGGCCCTCGAGTCCAACGAGTCCGAAGAGAGCCCCGAAGCGGGCGCTCCGAGTGCGCGCCGACGCGGCTGGCCGACGCGGCCGCCGACACGGACAGCCGCCGACTCGCATTCCGCCTCTCAGCGGAGGGAGACACTGGCAATTTCTAGGCCTCCCAGATGGGGTCGGAGCAGCTGTGGTCGAAGAATCGCGCCGCATCGCCGATGCGTCGGCGATGCCGCTCGATTCGGAGCCCGACTTTCGCCACGTCAATGGCGCCAAAGCATCGCCGACATCGCAGGTGCATCGCCAGTGCATCGCCGATGCATCGCCGATACATCGGCGATGCATTGGCGATGCGGCGCGATACTTCGACCCCATCTACTCCGACCCCATCTAGGAGGCCTCTACAATGGGCCTGCGGAGGGGCCCCTCGTCGTTACGGCCGAACGCAGCGCGACAAACTGGTGCGTTTGGAGCCTGGAAAGGGCCCGGGGACAGATTTTGAGCTGACTTCGAACTCCCAATGTCTCAAACCGCCTTGCTCCGAGCCTCCCCTCTCTCAAATATTATCCGGTCGCGGTCGCGCATAGCTTACTGCAGCTATACGTGCGACTCGCGTTTTCCCCTTGCACTCGGGAGTGGATAGACCTCCTACCCTGACACGTCGATTGAGGAATTGGCCGTTTTCGGTTCGCGAGAGGGCGTCGAGGCCGTCATTTTTGCGGGTCCAGGTCCGTCGGTTTCGGTCCCAGGCCGTTTTCACTAAGGAGAGGTTTACTACAGTGAGGTGTGTCCACCGCCGACGCACGAGGATTGGGAACTCAGGCTTGAAAAGCCCGAGTCTCCAACATACAGCTGCAACCGCAGGTAGCTGTGCGTCCTGCAACTGCGCCGCGCAGCAGCCGCAGCTGCAATTTCCGCACGCATGTCGTCGAGAAAAAAAAACACAGCGAGAACCCCGCCCCCAGAAACGAGAGGCCACCGCTCAAAATAAATGGAGACCCAAAACGCCCCCCCAAAAAAATGCGAAGCTGAAAAAATGAAAACCGTCAATTGTGAATTTTCAATCCCAAGGCGCGCGCGCGGCAGCAGCGATGCTTCGCCGACTTTTAGCTGTCCACTGTTCGCGTCAAAACCGCCACCGACTTCTCGCGAGGCCACCCCCCCAGAAACGGGAAGCCTCCACCCCGAGAAACTTGACAAATCCTCGAGGCTCCCCGCCCTCAGAAATGAGGCCCCCCCGCCCCTTGAGAAAACCTCGGTTGTGTCAACGCCTACGCTCGCGAGTGCATGGGCATTGGTGGGGCTGTTTGCACACGCGCAACAAAAACAACCCTGGCACCGTCGCTCTGACACAACCAAACATAATATTATACCTTGGGCTGCCCTCTCGGGAGGAAACAAACGCCGCCGAGCTCCGCTCATTCCAGAAAATTGAAAACCCAGGGCAAAAGCCCACGAGGCGTGTTCAGAATCTCGCATCGAATCCAGCCGCGGTGCTCTCCGAATGCGTTTGGACCGTCCAGACTTAACGTTTGACCTCCGGGCGGGTGGCGCCAAACAGGCGTTAGATAGCGTAAGTTAGCGTAAGCCGCTTCTTGCCCATGCGAAAATCTGAACGCGAACAGCGCGCGCAGTAAAATGTCCAGTTGCGCGCTCGAAACGTCGCGAGAATACGGCGCGCGAGCCACAACCACGGCGCGCTTGCGCTGCGAAGCCGCGCGCGCGTGAAAAATGAAACGCAAACAACGCGAACGCATTTGAGGAATATCCAATTGCGCGCGCCAACAATTCGCGCGAATGCGACGCGCGGGCAAGAACAAACGCGCTTGCGTTGCGAAGCCGCGATGCGCGCGCGCAAACAGAAACACCAACAGCGCGCGCGCATAGGAATATCAGATTGCACGCGCGAGAATTTGCGCGAATACGGCGCGCGGACCAAAAAACACAACACGTTTGCGTTGAAACGCAGCGATGCGCGCGCTGGTTTATCCCCTGGTCGCGTGAAAACTCGCGCTGAGCATTAAAAATGCATTGCGACTTGGGCGCGCGGACTAACAAAAAAGCGCGCGCGCGTGAAAATTGCAAAACAAAGGCGCGCGCGCGTCGCAAAACCGCGCCGCGCCCGCGAAAATTGCAAAGAGACGCGCGCGCGCATTGAAAAAATAACGCTCGCGCGTGAAAACAAATCAAAAATAGCGCGCGCGGGATGCGTTTTCTTAAGCATTTGGGGGCTCTCCCGGCGTGGTTTTTGTAGCCTCCCGGATAAAATGCTTAAGGGTTGACCCAATGCTTAAGGCTTAAGCATTTCCGGAGTGTCAAGACCCGGGCGCCGGTTTGGGATTCGTCACCGGATCCAGCGGATCCAGCGGATCCACCGGATCTGTCCGGAAACGGTGCCGGAGGCCGCTCTGGGCTCCTCTGGGCACCTCCCCCGGGGCCGGTTTTGTGAGGATGTCTCAAGCGAGGGCGCCGGTTTGGGATTCGTCACCGGATCCAGCGGATCCAGCGGATCCACCGGATCTGTCCGGAAACGGTGCCGGAGGCCGCTCTGGGCTCCTCTGGGCACCTCCCCCGGGGCCGGTTTTGTGAGGATGTCTCAAGCGAGGGCGCCGGTTTGGGATTCGTCACCGGATCCAGCGGATCCAGCGGATCCAGCGGATCTGTCCGGAAACGGTGCCGGAGGCCGCTCTGGGCTCCTCTGGGCACCTCCCCCGGGGCCGGTTTTGTGAGGATGTCTCAAGCGAGGGCGCCGGTTTGGGATTCGTCACCGGATCCAGCGGATCTGTCCGGAAACGGTGCCGGAGGCCGCTCTGGGCTCCTCTGGGCACCTCCCCCGGGGCCGGTTTTGTGAGGATGTCTCAAGCGAGGGCGCCGGTTTGGGATTCGTCACCGGATCCAGCGGATCCAGCGGATCCACCGGATCTGTCCGGAAACGGTGCTGGAGGCCGCTCTGGACTCGTGCTCTTCGCGCCGGGGGTGAGGATGACGTGAGTTCCACAGAAACTCCCTCAAACCATGAGTTTCCGTATGGCGTCACTGCGCTGGGCCACCAAGCAGCCCTCGAAAGTGGCGACAGACTTGTCGTTCGAAGCCCTCCAGAGATTCTGAGGCCTAATCTGAATCCCCGTATGGCGTCAGTGTGCTGGGCCCGCCAGCAAGCAGCCTTCGAAAGTGGCGACAACTTCGAAGTTCGCAGCCCCTGGGCATGGCGAGCGTAGGCAGGAGACACGTAGGAAGTAGAAGGTAGGAGCAGAGAGGAGGGAGGCGGGAGGGGAAGGAGAAGGATGATCAGTGGAGACCGTGATGCCGGATGTGTTTTGGGTTGGGGAAAAGCAAAAGACAGTGACACGACAAACCGTTGCGTTCACCAGAATTCGTCTCTTCGTCCCTGCGCGTTTAGAGGGAGCTCTGCAGGAACCCTGAGAGCAGTGCCAGCGCTCAGAGGGCTCAGGAGAGGTCCTTCGAACACCACGGGTGCCTTGCATACAGGCCGATGCTCGTGACCCCCCCCCCTTGGCGCCACATATGCCCTCGCTCTTTCTCCCTCTCTCACTTCCTCCCCCCCCTGCCAAGGGGGGACCGCGCAAGAGAGGAGATGGAGAGTGAGCGGGGGAGGGGCGAGGGAAGGGGCGGGGCAGGAACAGGAAGGCGACGAAGAGGGAGGACAAATATTTATACGGCAAGCACGCCTCCTCCTCCTCCTCCTCCTCCTCCTCATCCTCCTCCTCCTCCTCCTCCTCCTCCTCCTCCTCCTCCTCCCCCTCCCCCTCCTCCTCCTCCTCCTCCTCACCCTCCTCCTCCTCCTCCTCCTCCTCCTCCTCCTCCGATGATGATGATGATGATGCAGCGAGCACGCAGGGCAAAACCCGCGAGAGACACATCGGGGCACTAGTGTGCCGTCGAGCCTTGAGAGCGCCCTGAGGCGCCCCAGGGCCTCCTTCCGCGGGGCACCTGCTGCCAGGCCAGCTCCTTGTCTGACGTGCCTGCTATAGGTCCTCCTCCTGTTCCTCCTCCTCCTCCTCCTCCTGTTCCTGCTCCTCCCTATCCTCCTCCCTCCTCATCCTGTTCTCCTCCTGTTCCTCCCTCACTCCTCCTCTCTCTCCTCCTCCTCCTCCTCCCCCTCCTCCTCCCTCCTCCTCCTCCTCCTCCTCCTGTTCCTCCTCCTCCTCGCCGCCGCCACTTGCCTGCGCGCCGCGCCCGTCCCACGGCCTCCTCCTCGGTTCTCCTCCTCCTCCTCCTCCTCCTCCCCCTCCTCCTACCTCCTCCTCCTCCTCCTCCCCCTCCTCCTCCTCCTCCTCCTCTCCTCTCCTGCTCTCCCTCCTCCTCCAAGTGTTCCTCCTCCTCCTCCTTCCTCCTCCTCCTCCTCCTCCTCCTCCTGTTCCTCCTCCTCCTCCTCCTCCTCCTCCTCCTCCTGTTCCTCCTCCTCCTCCTCCGCCTCATCCTCCTCCCTCGGAGGACGGAGGGAGGAAGGAGCGGGGCGAGGCAGCACTCCTCCCCGCCGGCCTCTCGCACGCGCCGCGGCGGCTCGGCGAAGCTCTCAACCAACTGGGTCTCCATGCTGGAGCCCAACTGGCAGGACAGAGCACCTCCTCCGCCTCCGCCTCCTCCGCCCCCTCGGGTCGGGCGAAACAAGGGATAGGGATGGGGGCAACTTTAGGGATGGGGGCGGCAGCGAAGCAGCCTGCGTAGCCGACTTCCCCAGCACCTCCCCGCGCCGGAGGCGCGCCAACGCATCGAAGAGAGGGCCCTGGCAGCGGGACCGAAACCGGCTGCATGCATCGGATGTCTTGGCCCGGCCCCTTTCCCAACCACTCCCCCCCACACCCCCCTCTCGTCCGACCCGAGCCCCCATCATCATCCTCCTCCTCATCCTCCTCATCACCATCAGCATCATCATTGTCACCATCACCATCACCATCACCATCACCATCACCATCATCATCATCATCATCATCATCATCATCACCATCATCATCATCATCAGCAGCAGCATCATCATCATCATCATCATCATCAGCATCATCATCATCATCAGCAGCAGCATCAGCATCAGCATCAGCATCAGCATCATCATCATCATCAGCATCAGCATCATCATGATCATCACCATCATCAGCATCATCATCATCATCATATTAATCAGCATCGTCATCATCATCACCATCATCCTCCTCCTCCTCATCATCACCATCACCATCACCATCACCATCACCAACATCATCATCATCAGGTTAATGATCCTCATCATCAGAATCATCACCATCATCATCATCAGCATCATCATCAGCATCATCATCATGATCATCACCATCATCAGCATCATCACCATCATCACCATCATATTACTCATCAACATGATCATCACCATCATCCTCCTCCTCCTCATCACCATCACCATCACCATCACCATCACCATCACCATCATCATCATCATCATCATCATCATCATCATCATCATATGAATGATCCTCATCATGATCATCATCATCATCCCCATCAGCATCGTCATCATCAACAACATCAGCATCAGCATCAACATCATCAGCACCATCAGCATCATCATCAGCATCACCTTTCTAATCAGCGCTTGTATCATATTCATTACCATGGCCAGCATCATCATGCCACCTCGTCCTGACCTCCTTTGGTGGCAAGTCGAAGGGTCCTGCACGGCCGCCGCGGTGTCGACCATTCCCTCCCAGCGTGGTCTCGCGGGAGGTGCCCGGGGCCCCACCCGCCCTGCCTGGTCCCACGAGAGGACACCGTTCCTTTCGGCCGATGCCTTCAAATTGTTACGCGGCGAACGAGGGGGAGGAGGAGGAGGAGGAGGAGGAGGAGGAGGCGGAGGAGGAGGAGGAGGAGGAGGAGGAGAGTGGAGGAGGAGGAGGAGGAGGAGGAGAGGAGGCGGAGAGGAGGAGGCGGAGGGGGAGGAGGCGGAGGAGGCAGAGGAGGAGGAGAGAGGGGGAGGAGGAGGAGGAGGAGGAGGAGGAGGAGGAGGAGGAGGACGTCGCGCCCTCGTCAACCGCTTGTGCAGGCGGCACGGCAGTCCATGCGGTTCCTCACCAATCATGATGATGACTGTGTCTGGCAGCCATGGTGCCTCAAAGACTGCACGCTGGCAGTCCGATGCGCCGCACCTGCTTCCGAGTGGCCCGTTCAAACGCCAGAGCCTGAAGCCACTGAACAAACACCTCATCCTTGAAGTATAACCTGCTTTGGCTGGAGACAGGGCTCGAGCTAATCAGTGCCGTTCGTTTGGTGTTCTGTTCGCTTTCTTTTGTTATGTGTTCGTTCTGCCTTTGCTGCGAAACACAATTAAACACGGAAGCGGTCCACGAAATCGCCAAAACACCGTTTAGCTCGAGCCCTGGCTGGAGAAGTCTGAGTTCTTGCAACAGTTGCCTGAACACGCCGCTGCAAACGCGCTCACTTATGCTGCGTGGCCCGTGATCCACTTCGTGCTCCCCGCGCTCCACGTTTGAGCGGACATCCCAGCGAAAGCCTCCACGAGCATCTCTTCCGCGCTCTGCGCAGCAATGCTGCCAGCACGTGGTGGGCCCCACGCGCTGCTGGTGGTAGGACATATAGGCATGGGCTGGATCGGCAAGGGCTGTCAGCACAAATCGGCGACAGCGCTACCCCGGGCTCGAGTGGTCACGCATGGGGTCTAGGCGGGGCCAGTGGCGCAAGCCAGCGTTGGTGCAGCACAGGGCTTGTGTCGAGGCGCAGGCCAGCGTCGGCGCCACCCCAGGGCCAGTGGGGCTGGCCAGAGGCAAGCATGGGCTGGCGGTGCAAAATGGCGTCGGCGCCACTCACGGCTTGCCAGGCTGAGCATAGAGCAGCAGGGGGCTGGTGGTGCAAACGGGCGCTGGCGCCTTCCAAGAGCTACAGGCGCCACACAAAACTGCCGGGTGGCGCAAACCCCAGCTGATGCCTCAGCTCTGAGGAATGGTATCCCGTTCAGTACAGGCACACTTGGGAAAACACCTGCTTGCAGCAAGGGCGTTGCCTCTGTTCTCTTTTTTCAAGCATCTGATAAGACGAACTGGCAGGGACCGTTATCAAGCCACTTATATTGTGCCTTGGGAACCTTACGCCGCTTGTTCCAAGCGAGACAGACAGGCACATGCGGCACACATAACTCGTGGTAGCTGCGCTGACGGCAAGGATGTGGAACGGTCACATTCGAGTCCTGCACCTGGTTTCGGCAAGTCGTGGGCAGAACTATAGGACAACCTTGTGTTGCTCGTGTGCGATACGCTCATGATGCGTAAGAGGTTTCAACATCGAAACGGTCTCAACGGCCCTGCAATTCAGATGCACGTTTGGCTCGTGTTCCGTGCAGGCGCGTGGCTTAAGTACGCCGCACGGTCGACATCCACCACCGCGCTTTGCAGCGGTTGGTCTGTGGGTGTCGGGCTCCTTGCGTCTTTACACCGTTGCGCTTCTTGCGAAGCTACAGTTGGGCCCCCCATCGACGCATCGAGCCAAACATGCGTTCATGCTTTGCTCGATACCCCTGCAATTCTTTCTGGCTTCGACTCGCCAGCTCAATCGCAAGTTCTTCGGGACATTGGCGGGTGCGAGGCTGATTGTCTGATGTCTGGCGTAGGGTTCTGTAATGCTTCTGAAAATCCTACACCTCGGAGCAGCCCGGGTCTGAACAATTTCCCGCATAGTTCTGCTGCCCTGCGCCTTGCTTTACTTCCTCAAACAACCAATTACCGCCCACACGACTGCAATACGCCCCCAATACCACCCAACGACGGCCCACGAAGCTCACAAGGGGTGCAAGATCTCCCCAAGGTGCCCCAAGAGGCCTCACGAAGCCTCTGAAGGACCTCTGGGGAGTCCGATAACAAGGCCTTGCGCAGAAGGCGAAAGACAATGAGACACGAGGGGAGATTCCATACCTTTTCCCCAAGCAGTGCTCGCGCTTGGGGCTCAGAACCCCTAGTGCAAGCACCATTTTGCGGAAAAGCGATGACGAGCAATGCAGAGCCTAGTGAAGAACTTCCTCGTTGGTTCGAAATAAGCCAACGAAGACGCCAGTGAAGAACAACGACGAAGCCCGTGAAGCACTTCATTCCCCAATGTGTCGAAACCAGTGGAGAACTTCTTCGTTGGCTTCGAAAGAAGCCAGCGAAGAAACCAATGCAGAACAACGACGAAGCCAGTGAAGAACTTCATTTCACAATGTGAGCACGCCGAGACCAGTGAAGAACTTCTCCACGTTGGCTTCGAAAGAAGCCAGCGACAAAAGCCAGTGAAGAACAACGAAGAAGCCAGTGAAGAACTTCATTCCCCCATGTGAACACGTCGAGACCAGCGCAGAACTTCTCCACGTTGGCTTCAAACTGTTTGGCTGGGTCGTCGCGGTTATCTGCCGGCCCGCCGCCCGTGGCCGCCCGGTGGAAGCCTCGCGCGCGGGCTCGGTTCTGCGGGTCTTCGGCCGGCGGCCCTCCGCGGCCCTGAAGGACTTGGCGACTTTTCGCCAGCCGACCGGTGGGGATCGAACCAAAGAAACCCATGCACATGACGGTAAAAATCCAGGTGGATGCAGGCAAATCGAGGTGACTCCAGGAACATCCGGGTACATCCCCAGATCTCCAGGGACTGTTGGAGCAAGCTGCGGCCGCCCTAGCGCGAGTCGGAGGACGGCAGAAGTCGTTAAGCCTTCAACGAGCCTCGTGGTCGCCGCGTGCGCTGGTTGGCGTCCTCGGCCTTTCGGTCGGACGCCGCCCGTGTATCAAGCAAAGAGCTGTCTCCTTGTGGTTGGGCCTTCGCCGCGAACAGGGAAGGTTGCGAGGAGGTCTCTGGCGAGAGGGCCGTTCCTGCGTGTCGGAGCGTCTCGGGCTAGGTCGTCTCGGAGTAAACCGAGGGGAAGTATCGGGGATGGACAGAAACCCTTTTAGTAAAACGCGGTTTGGTGAAAACGTTCTCGGGCCCAAGCCTGTCGGGCGCAAGCCTGGAACGTGACGGCCGCGGCACCCTCTCGAGAAACGCAAAAGACAATTCACTAATCGACGTGTCAGGGTGGGAGGCCTGTCAACCCCCGAAGGTACCAAGCCAGAACCGCTGCCGCTGTAGTTGGGCCTTCACCGATCGGGATTGCGAGGCCTCGGGCGACGGCGCAGGTTGTTCCTGTCGAACGTCTGGGTGTAATGCACTTGCGAGGAAGTGGCGAGCGGGAGCCGTTCTCGCTGCAAGTCGGGCTCCGACAATCGGGTTTCGGAAGCAGGCTCGCGCTCGAGGCTGCCGCCTCGCTTGCACAGAAACTGCAGCCCGCGCCCGGGCGACAGCGCCAGAGCCGCTTCCACATCTGAGCACCAGCTGCTGACCAGGGGTGGGAGCTCAGCGGCGGCAGGAAAAAACGACCAAGACGACGACGAAAACGACGAGGCCGAAAACGGCGACGATAAAAGCGACGATGACGAACACGGCGACGAAGCCGAGAACGACGACGAGAACGGAGACGAAAAAAGAGCGATTGTGATGAGGACGGCGACGAAGACGAAGACGACGACGATGAGAAAACGGTAACGACGACAAAGACAACGACGACGACGACGAAAACGAACGCGCCAGCCACGGCAAGAAAGCGGCGAGGACCACGACGCCGACGACGGCGCGCGCCGGGCCGGGCGCCTGCGCGGCCCTCGCCTCCTCCAGTGCCGCCGTGCCCGCGTCCGCATCCTCGGGCCCGCGGGCGCGGGCGCCGCTGGCGCTCGCCGCTGGCGCTCGCCGCTGGCGTCGAGTTCGTCGAGTTCGTCGTCGTCGTCGTCGTCGTCGTCGTCGTCGTCGAGGTCGTCGTCGTCGTCGTCGTCGTCGTCGTCGAGGTCGTCGTCGTCGTCGAGGTCGTCGTCGTCATCGAGGTCGTCGTCGTCGTCGTCGTCGTCGTCGTCGTCGTCGTCGAGGTCGTCGTCGTCGTCGTCGTCGTCGTCGTCGCCGTCGTCGTCGTCGTCGTCGTCGTCGTCGTCGTCGTTGTCGCCGTCTGCAACACGACCTCGCCAGCGACGACGGCGACGGCGGCGACGACGACCTCGCCGGCTACGACGGCAGCGGCGGCGACGACGGCGGCGACGACGTCGGCAGCTGCGGCGAGGTCGGCAGCGGCGGCGAGGTCGGCGAGAGGTCGTCGTCGTCCCCGACGGCGTCGTCCTCCCGAGGAGGAGGAGGAGGTGGCCTTCCCCACCGCCCGCCAGATAGACGCCTCCCCCAACCACTCCGACGCCGTGTCTGGGAAAGGCTTTGGTGGGTGAGTGGGAAGAGCCGGCTGCTGCACGACTGAGGAGCGACCTTGCTGATCTCCGCATCCGGCCCCCGGGGTGACGGGGTGGATCGGGATTGAGCCCTGGCGCGAAACGGGCCAGCAACTGTCCTTTCGGACTCCGTCGAGGGTGCTGCCAGTGCCCACATCCATTTGGGTTCAAGCACCGCGAGGAAGCGTGTGGACGAGCAGGGACGAGGACCTCCTACTCTGCTCTCCTCCGTCCTCCTTCATCTCTCCTCCTCTCTTCCTCTCCCTCTCCCTCCCTCCCTCCTCCCTCCTCCCTCCAACCTCCTCCTCCTCCTCCTCCTCTCCTCCCCTCCTCCTTCCTTCCTCTCCTCCTCCTCCTCTCTCTCTCTCTCTCTCTCCTACTCTCCTCCTCCTCTCCTCCTCCTCCTTCCTCCTCCTCTCCTCCTCCTCGTCCCTCCCTTCCTCTCGCACCCTCCCTCTTCCCCCGCTCCTCCTCTTTCCTCCTCTTCCCCCTGCTCTCTTCCTCCCTCCTCCTCCTCCTCCTCTTTCCTCCTACTCTCTCCTCCTCCTCCCTCCTCTCCTCCTCCTATCTCCTCCTCCTCTCTCCTCTCACTCTCCTCCTCATCTCCTCCTCCTCCTGCCCCCCCTTCTCCTTCACCTCCTTCTCCTTCTTCCTCGCCTCCTCCCCCTCCTCTTCTCTCCTCCTGCGAGGCAGCGGCGCGGGTCCCTTTGCCGCGCGCCCGCGCTTGCGCCGCTCTTTCTTCTTCCTCCTCCTCCTCCTCCTCCTCCTCCTCTATCATCATCAGTCATCATCATCATCATCTCATCATCATCACACTGTCATCACTCTCTCCTTCTCCTCCTCTACCTCCTCCTCCTCCCTTCCTCTCCTCTCCTACTCATCCCCTCCTCCGCCTACTCCTCTCCTCCTCACCTCGCTCCTTATCCCCTCCTCCTCCTCCTTCTCCTGCGCCTGATCCTGCTGCTGCTGCTGCTCCTTTCTCCTCCTCCTCCTCCTCTTCTTCCTCCTCTTCCTCCTAGTCCTTCTTCATCCTCCTCCTCTTACTTCTCCCTCCCCCCTCCTCCTCATCATCCTTCTGCTCCTCCTCCTCCTCCTCGTCCTCTTCCTCCTCCCCTCCTCTTACTCTTCCTCCTCCTCCTTCTCCTTCTCCTCCTCCTCCTCCTCATCCTATTCCTCATCCTCTTTTTCTGTTGCGTTGGCCAGAACCGATGTGTGCACATGTGGCGTCCCTGCAGAAAAAGAAACACGACTCAAGTCAAACAATGCACCTGGCGGGCACTGCGGAAAATGAAGGAGGGCGAGCGCAATACGATAATATTAATGAGAATAGGCGCCCGCCAGATGGGACGATACTCACCTTAGTTGGACTCCTGCATCTCCTCCACCATCCTCCCACACAATTAACCATAGAGAAAACCTTCAGATCTGTGGTGCGTATCGCCCCGGCAGTCCAACATACTGACGACGCGGACCTTTCCCAAAAACATAAATAAAGATAAACGGCGGGTGAAGGATACGTAGATCGTGCCGCCGATGCAAGGTAAGCGCAACGACGCCAGGATTAAATGTGAAGTATTGCTGTATTTGGTGCACGCTGCGGAAGAGTTACTGCTGCAGAGAGGAGTAGACAGCCATGAATGGAGGATAATGTATGCATGTGCGGCCAACGGCATCGCGTACGCCTGTACGTGAGTAGCTGAGTAGGCTGGCATGTGGTCTAGGCTGGACAATGCCTGAACTTGCGCCATTGGTTAGCAAAGAGAGCACGTACATATTCTGTGCTGGCATGTGCTGCTAACAGCAGTTGTCGAGCCGAAGCGTCCAAAAGGAGGTGTATAGCGCACCAGCAATAGTGAGGGCCGCACGGAAGAGATTGCTGCGCAGGTGGTCTGTACTCGGCTGGCCTGTCGAGGAGACGGGCCGAGTAGACAGAGCAAGACTGGGCAACAAAGACAGCGAGTAGCCTGTTCTGCTGTGGTCCTCCTCCGCCCCCACCTTCAATAATGTAACCACCACCTCCGTAGTCACGTAAGCTGTCATGCAGCGTCGAAAGAAGACATTCAAGTGTGGTCTTCCTCCTCCTCCTCCTCCTCCTCCTCCTCCTCCTCCTCCCCGTTCCCCGCCCTCCTCCTCCTCGTCCTCCTCGTCCTCACCTCCGCTGTCCACTCCTACCTCCTCCTCCTCCTCCTACTCCTCCTCCTTCGTCCTCCTCCTCCTCCTCCCTTTTCCTCCTCGTCCTCCTCCTCCTCCTCCGCCCTCCTCCTCCTCCTCCTCCTCCTCCTGGCCGCCCTCATCCTCGGATCCCAGATCGTGTGGTGCAAACCGCGCTGTGAGCTCGAACTCCCGAAGCACCCCACCGCACGGTGCGACGCCGCACGGTCTTGGGACCCTGGAGGCCCGTCGCCCGAGACATCCCTGGAGAAGGACCCGCGTCCGAGACCTGTGCGGTGACCCCAAATCCCCACTCACTCACCGCGCGGTGTGGTCACCACACCGTTGGGCCCCCACTGAGCTGTGCGCCTCGTGGCCGCTGCTGGAGAGAGACGGAGAGAGAGAGAGAGAGAGCGAGAGAGAGCGAGAGAGAGCGAGAGAGAGAGAGAGAGAGACAGAGAGCACCCAACCGGCGAGAAGCTCCTGGCCCTGCGCAGGGCCTGGGAGGATTGTGCCGCAGTGCGTCAGTTGAGCGACGAAAGGAAAAAGGAGTCTTACGCACAATGACGTAGCGACCTTACGCCGCGTCTCACGCGGGCCGCCAGCTTGGTACACCGTGTGGAGAAGAGGGCGCTTACGCGCGACCTTACGCGGGAAACTTCCGCGCAGGTGTCCGCGCAGTCGACACGGATTATACGCGTCAGCCGTATGAGCTCGTTCATGATGGCTTCCACTGCTCCGCCAGTGCAGCAAATTCACACCGAGTCCCACCTGCCTTTTGGGCGTGAGTGGCTTAGGGCGCTTCCTCTTCCAACCCCCCTCTCTTCCCCTTCGGGGATGGATTTCATTACTGTTCCCTGTGAGTGAAGACCCCCTCAGGCGACCGACGGCAGCCAACCCCGACCAACGAACCCCCCCCAACATCCTTGGGAAGCAAAGCGCTGCAACATACACTTTGCCTCCAAACCTGGGGCATGCGCAGGCGCCCCGCGACCACTTTGCATTGTCGCATTGCTCTTTGACATGGGCGGCGGGAGGGGCAGTATATTGCTTGCTGCGCGCAGGCCAACCATTCATCCCAAAACAAACATGCAACAATCCACTGCGTCCCCACATCTGGAGCATGCGCAGGGCTGTCGGTTCTTTGAACTCTCATTTGTTTCGCGACTGCTCAAGACCTCACAAGTTGTCCATCGGTGCCGCCGCTTTGCGCTCCCTGAACCGCCCTTCTCACAGAATGTTCGGCACGTCGTTTCAGGGGGTTCAAGATCCTGAACTCCTTGGGGCCAAGACCCAGGCACCTGGGGTCCCCATTGATTCCCCGTGGCTGGCGCACCTGGCGCGGCTGGAGCACGTGGCACAATTGGCGCACGTGGAGCATGTGCCGCACCTAGCACGCTTGAGCCTCCACCGTTCCTGGTGCACCTGGAACCCGTGGCGCGCATGGCATCGGTGGTGCTCCTAAGCGACCTGCTGACACTCGGGTGTTACTTATCTGTCGGGAAGGCGGGTGGGAGTGAGCTGGACGGCCTGCTATCTAGGAGGCCACCTTGATCACTGTTCCCCATTGGTATACACCCCTTTTCCCCAGGCGACAGGGAGCCAACCGGGAACAATGCGGGCACCCCCCTTCCCTGGTAAATTATCCTGGCGAAAGACCCAACCATAAGCAATTGTTGGTAACGCGTCGTGGGTGCCGTTTTCGGTGGGGCTCCATATGGGGCCACGAAGCGCTGCCTTGGATGGGGGAACCGCATGCGGACTGCGCCACCGGGGCGGGCCTTCGGTGGAGCTCCTTATGGGGCTACGAAACGCTGCCCTGGGTGGGGGAACCGCATGCGAACTGCGCCACTGGGGCCTTCGGTGGAGCTCCCTATGGTGCCACGAAACGCTGCCCTGGGTGGGGGAAGCGCATGCGAACTGCGCCACGGGGGCTTTCGGTGGAGCTCCCCATGGGGCCACGAAGCGCTGCCCTGGGTGGGGGAACCGCATGCGAGAGCAGCCACGGGGGCCTCCGGTGGAGCTCCCTATGGGGCCACGAAACGCTGCCCTGGGTGGGGGAACCGCATGCGAGAGCAGCCACTGGG